TCGATGAACTTAGCGGTGCTGCTGTCGCTTTGTGCAGTTTGCTTCTAGTGGACCGTTGGATAGTGTCATGGAGTAAATTGACCTAACGGTACATATACATACATCAATGATACCATGCGTTAACTTAAAAATGGCCTTACAGAGAAACATGATTCGAAAAAATTCCAAATCTTCACATCTTCGGTTGCATATATCAGTCATCCTATGGTCACTTGTTCTTCAATATATTGAATGCTATAAAACGGAAAATACAAAAGAGTCGATTGTACCGATTACTCTCGATGTCAGGAAAACATATGCATCCGTTGAGCATTACTACATCTGGAAGAGATATAATGAAATATAAATTCAAAATGAATAATAGAAAAGCAGTTGTATATTCGGAGATTAAAGGATTCAGTATCTCACATGTACCATATCGACTATAGATCAACAATTTTGGAAATTTCAAGCAATTATGACAGTTTGAAGAGTTCAGTTTCTTCACAATATTAAATATTGTTCATTTATTTAAATGATAATTGTCTGAAATGATTACTAGTTTTTTGTTACATTCACATATCTGGATATTTTTATAAGGAAGATTAAAAGACTGGAATGGTTTCCAAGGTGACACGATGATGCTTCTATTTAATTCGTATCATCATATCCCTCCCATTCAGTTATTTGGTTTACATATTATTATCCTAAATTTTACTCCACACCTTAATTATCTAGAAATCACCAGTATTACACAATACATTGCATTTGCTTTGTTTTTGTTACCGTCTAAAATCACTGAGCGCAACAATGATCGGACTAATGAATTTTCTTATTAATATAAAAGGCAAGAGAAGATCATCGAATCATACAAGATATGATCACTCAATTATACAGTGAGAAATATTTGAAAAGAGCATTCGGTTAAGGTATATTTGTATAAATGTGCAATTATTTTATAGGGACGAAATTAATTTTGTCAGATGAATATGACAATTGATATATGAACCGAAATTTCAGCGTTGAATCCGCAAAGAAGCAATTTTAGTTTGAAAGTTTCCTGACAAGATGATGATTACCAGATGGAGAAGTTGAATGATATCGCCTTTACTGCATGGTTCGTTTATTTCAGCCACAAAAATTATTTACATATTAGCACCAAGCACACTTGCTCTTTGATTTAAATCAATGTAAAAAATTGCAAGAAAAAAAAATGTAGCAGCATTAATTGATTATATAAAATTTAAATTCTAATCTCCATTTTCGACGATTTCTCTTGATAATAGTTTCAAATCAGTAACGCATATTCTGTAAAAAGTTCTGAAGATTTTTTTTAAAACTATTTCAGTTAGTTCTAATAATTCTTTTGTCATAAGGCAATAAAGTTTTAAACTGGAGGTCGTTCATAATTGGATCGAAACGTTAAACAAGAAAACGAAAGCCACACAAACGAATGTGAAAAATATTATGAAAGCATTAGCAATGATGACATCTGCTCTAATTGATGAGATGTTCACAAAAATTGATCGTTTTATTGACAGGCTCAAATGCAAAACAAAGTATTTGTCCATTTATCGTTTTTTGCATGCTTTATTAAATTTATCAATTTTTTCAATCTGATTTTTAAAATCTTCAAAATGTTATAAGAGAAATTATCGCTTCCAAAAAAAATGGGATAATTTAGGTTATGAGTCATGCAATATAACACATTTCCTGATGGTAGTAAGCCAGTCTGAGCACAACTATGTGAAAGTTTTAAAATGGATGCTTACAATGCCACAACTCAAATTTATTTATATTTATTTAGTTGATCTTTATTTTAGTTGATCTTTATTATCAGTGTTGAATGAATGCGCGTAATGGAAAAAAATTATGGCTTCTTCAGAAGTGATAACCTACTAAACTATTAAAACAAATTCTTAAATCATTATTTTACATATTTAATATAATGAATGCTTGAAATCCCTTTGCAGAAAAATAATAGTCTTTGTGGTAAAGCCGACGTCATCTTTGTTGTACTATTGGACAGCGCTTGTTTGCATTGGCTGCTTTTATAATTTACTTATGGTTGTGATATTTGTTTACCGAGAAATTTACACTTATTATTTTTACTATTGGCTAACCTGTAATTTTATATTCGACATCATATTTTTAATTGATATATTCATACAATCACGAATTAGTAAGTTTCGATTGGTGCATGTAGCAGTCGATTTCAAAGTTTTAATCGAAAATATTTTTTAACTTTATGATGCATCAGTGCAAATTTTAATCTCTCTATACAAAGCAAATTTCGGTATTATCTAGAGAGAGAGAGGGAGAGAGGTAAAGAAAGATGGAGCTTATTACAGGTTATATTGATGATGGTGTAGCTGCTGAAAATCTAAGAGTTCAAGCCAGAAGATATTTTCATAGGTAAGTTTATCTTTATTATAGAAAAAAAAACAAGAATAAGCACTTTGAAATACTTAAGTGAATCAGAGAAGAAAACAAACTGAAATCTCAACAAAATTTAATAAAATCGAACAACTGAAAATAAACAAAAAATTGAAAACAGAAATGATGGAAATGAAGAATTCATAAGAAATGTAGAGGAATTTATTTTGCATTAGTTAGTAATAGATAAAACTTCACGATTTAATAGCTAGCATTATTGCTTTTCCCAATTAAACTAATACACGATATCGAGATATCGCTTGGAGATTCATTCATACGACAATCGATGTTTTTTGGAGTATTGATAGTTGCAACAATTCTGATATTTCAGCTATAATTTTTGGTTGGATGTTAGCAGCATATTTCCATTTGATTTTCTATTAATTTATCGTAGTGATATATCGTTGGTACGCCTTAATCGTTTGTTAAAATCGTATCATTTCAATTATTTTATTGATCGTACTGAAATTCGTACAAATTGGCCAAACGCATTCAAAATATTCGTCCTCATAATGACTTGTGTTGTGTTATTCCATTGGAACGCTGCTGCATATTTCCTAATTAGTGTTACTAGCGGCATTTACAGTATGTTTAATCATTCGATCATTTCAAAATTCCATTTAATTGCATGTGATCGAATAACCAAATCATGAACTTAATAGAATAAATGCTTGAAACATTCGTTGGTAGTCTAAATGTTTCGGTATTCAAAATAATTGACTCAGGTGAAGATCCTGACGCATGGCAATTCACTTATACGAAAATCGCGGATCCAGTCATCCCGAAATGTAATACATTCCAATTAACAAGTGATTCAACAAACTGCGGTTTTAATGAAACAGGTAGAAATGTAAACAATCGCCTCGAATATATTGATGAAATGATGCAATATTGGAGAAACAGGTAGATTATAGACTTTTCAGCTGTACTTTTTATCAAGTGAGGCATAAATGGCCTTTAACAATTATTTCGGTTACAGCAAATTCAATTTTGTGTAATTCAGGTCAAAAATACTGACATTTCCAAACTTCAGTAAAGAATATGCATTATCAATTTACTGGTCATCACTGACATTAACAACGAAAGGACAACAGGTTTTAATCGCTTTTTAATTTTACAGTTATTTATTCTGTTGTGTTAGGTTTGAAGAGCCCATAGCAATACGAGGCTTGTGATGCCAAGGTAGGTAGTACTAAAGCACAGCAGATAATATAGCAGAAGAAAGACAGATTGGTTAAGGTTACGCCTCTCATTGACAATCTAATTGGCGAATAGTTTTAATGAATTTTTTGGTGCTGTGAAACTTTTTTGGAAGATTAATGTGCAAACATTTTAGGATCACAGTTTTGTCACTTGAAAAATTTTCCGCTCAAAGTCTGAATTAAATTTTTACTCAAAGAACAAATTTTGCTCGGATCGAAAATGGGGATTCCAAGATTGAGAATGATTTTTAGCCTTATCCAATGAGTTCACTCGAGGATACACTTGAAGTTATCGATACGTTAATCGGTTTGCTCATTTTTGCCGTAATTGTTGGCTCTGTTGGAAGTGTCATATCAACAATGAATAAAGAAAAATCCGAATTTCAAGAGATCCTGGATGGCATTAAATTTTACATGAATTATAGGTACTTACTTGCTATTTTGACGTCTCTAGGCTTCTTGCTAGAAGATTCCAAAATTAGATAACTTTTACGGTCAAAATTATTCAATTGTTCAATTGTTTATATGCTATATTCAATTGTTTATATGCTTAATCTTTAGAAAAGTGGACTCAGATATTCAAAAGCGGGTCCTGAACTGTTGCGACTATATCCATGATCAAGGAATTTCCAAAGATGAAAGTGTAACCGCTTCTTCCAGTTTTTGCTTGTTGAAATGATCTTCAAAACTTCGACATATCCTTGCAAAACGATATGCAATGATTTCAGGCGCTTCTGGACGGATTACCTAGAAAGTTGCACGGTCAATTAGCGACACATTTACATATGGTTACTTTGCAACAGGTCGAACTACTTAAGGTGAGCACTTTTGAAAGTAATTTAAAAACATTTTCGAAAATTACTCTAAGTTTCTCCCAGAAATTTCGTCACACCACCGGAAGAGCGAGAAGCAATGCTAAATAATTCACTTAGTTCTGATGATGCTTCATTGTGGCGGCATACTATATTACTATTTAGGACTGTGAACAAGGACTGCTCTTCGAACTTATTCTTCGATTGAAGTTCCAACTTTTCAGTCCAAATGACTATATTTGTCGTCGCGGCGAATTGGCACGGGTATGATCATTGTAACAAAATTTGCCTTATTAAAACTATAATAATTCAAAATGATTTTGAAGTATAGCCACAGAGAAGTTTTGCATGTGAAATATCAGCTTTCTTAAATATCTAAAATAGTATTTTTACAGGAAATGTACATTGTGAAACGCGGACAACTTAACTGTGTTAGTGATGATGGTAAGGTTGTCCTTGGAATCTTAAAGGAAGGTGCAGTTTTCGGTCAATTGGCCATCCTTAATTTATCTGAAAAGATCGGTTGTAATAAGCACACCATGGCAATTCGTTCGATTGGATACACCGATGTTTATATTCTACGTCAGGAAGATGTAAACGATGTCCTACAAGAATATCCTCTAGCCCGACGAAATTTAACAGAAAAAGGTTGGAAATTCTTATCGACAGGTTATAAATAAATCATCTTCCGTAGTTCTTCTTATTTGCAAAGTACAAAATAATAGCATAATTCGCATAAAAAAAGAGGAAATCTTCAGCTATACAGATGCTTCGAGATGACGGCTATTGGAATAACACAATAGCCATTGAAAAGAAAGTTTATGGTAGCACTTCAACATTGGAGGAACAGCTTGATGAGATTGGAAAGACAATTAACGCACTTGGTGACGAAATTAACCGATTATACGAAATGTTCGATGTAAGCCTTATCAATATATTGTCCCCAAAGCTATGAACGAAAATAATTCCTGTGATAATGCCAATAACAACTGATTCCAATCACCCATATCCATCTTTCTGTTCTGGATCAATGTATAACTCTCCTAAACCTTCCTTTTTTTCGAGAATTTTGAAAACATTTTCATAAGAGGTTTTTTGGTAAATTTGTATTAGATCATTTTGCAGAATATGTCATCGGATTTCAAGCAACGACTCACCAGACTTGAAGGCGCATATAAGACAAGATGTGAAAGGCAAAAAATGAGAAGACAATTTGTCATAAAACATAAGCATTGAAAACATTAATTATATTATGTCACCATTTTTTTGATAAGGTCCCGAAAACGGGGATGACGGAAAGCGTTCAATACCAAATTTGTGTTTGAGCAAATAATAGACAATCACAAAGAGAACAAAAGATCGCCCGAGCTTTCAGGGTGATGTGCTCTATACTATCATAAGTCAAGTATTACAAATTCTTTAGGCTGGAAAACCTATCGGTTGATTTTTCCGGTTGCGTGGATAAAAATTAAGTTGCAATCGAGTGTTACAATAATAAATGAATGCTGATCACTTGAATACAAGAGATCATTGATTAGCAGGTAGATGGATTGATAAGTAGTCCTGAATTCGAAAATCTATTCATCCGTAATGTGTAGTTGTATAGTGCATGCTTCATTACAAGGTTATAATCATCGTTACTGCAAATGAAAATAAAAATCATGAAGAAATAATGCTTTTGTTTTATTGTGCAGTTTTCTTCTCTGAGCTTTGATCTATTTTCGAATCATTCAAAGGGTATCACAGTAAGTAAGCTTATCTGCGGAATCCAGCAATCACATCCCCTTCCAGACACTCCTGCAAATTCGGAATTCAATGAAGAACCCACAAAGACCTTCAGCAGTAACCCCGCACGAACCAACCTTCCAGTTCTGTTTTTCCAACCTGACACTAATGCTGGTATTTAATAGCTCGTCCAACATTGGCAGAGGGACCGGTTTGGTTTTCAATTAGATTGCCTTAATATTCGTCTTTTCTTTTGTCTTGTAGGTATGTTGTTGTTCTTCACAAAGTAAGTAAATTAATCAGTTTACGTAGATATGACGGATGAATTCATTTTGAGCAGGAATGATAAGCATGAAAGGATTCTTTTGAATAATAACCTCATCTCTTAGTGGTAAGTAAAGACAAAGGCTTTCGAAATTTTGGAATAGCGCGGTGAGACGATTACAATCTGATTATCATTGGCAGAGATACAGATGGCTCAGGAATTCGATGACCCTTTCCTAATTTCATTTGTCAAAAAAGAAAAGAATTTCCGGTCAAAAAAATCTGCATCAAGTTGTTTGTGCTAAATATTAAAAATTTGATTGCAGTCATCTATTTCTTATTTCTTCAATCATTCAAAAAGAGTTTAGCTTTTTTTGATTTTCATAGCTTTCTAACAAATATGTTACTTTCTTCAGATGCTAAAATTTTCAGCTGACAGAAGAAAAATTAGTTCTGAAAAGAAGAATTAAGATTCCTTTACTTGCTAAGAAGATTTCTTTACTTGCTTGGTGAAATTTTCACAAGGACATGTCGCTCTACGAAATATTCGGCGAAGATCCAGTCCATGAAAAGGGAGACGATGGTCGGTCATCTAAAAAAGGTTTTCGTTGACTAAATTAGTTGAAAATGATTTATCTCCATTCTTCTCTTTATTCTGTTTTTCGCCATTTCTTGGTATTTTTGTCTAATATTAGCTTCTTTAGTGGATGTCGTGTAAATTATCTTTTTTTCCATTTTGTAATGTGTTATGTCTATAGTTGATTCATCCTCAAAAATCGATTCAGGTCTGCCATCTGGTTTACGGCTTCTTCAGTCACAGATACACATTAAAAAAACACAGTTGGCCCAACAGGTTTGCTTTTCTTTTTTTGTTAAAATCAGCCTGTATAATTATGAAAATTGACATTTCACTGAAAACATAATATCTTTGGTATGACTACTGTCTTTTTTCAGCGAAGTGTGGTTACACCTGTTGTTGACTTATCCGCAAAAAATCGCTCCTCGAAGACTACTTTCTTGCGTCCTCATAAAACAGTGCCTCTGAGCGATGGACCGCCGCTTTCATTCATACCGAAAGCACTAAAAGAAGATAAGGTATGTTCTGATAAGCACATGCAACCAGAGCTTGAGTTATTAATATAAGTTTTTGTTTTTTAGCAAATCATTTAGTATATTTATAGGTATTTCTTTTTGGTGAAGTTTTGGTTGAAGATGAATACAACCCTACTGCTCCAACCGACTACGCCAAGCATAAGCAAAAAATGGATGAGAGGAGAGCAAAAGAAAAAGTTGCAAAAGAAATTGCCGAGAGATTAAACAGGTGTTTCATATTGTTACTCAAATTGCTGCACCTCCTTTTCTATACTTAGAGAACAAGAATTATGAGTTTATTTCTTGAAGATGTCATTCGGAGTTTGAACTTTCTTTTGCAGGGAGCATCAGGAAGAAATTGCAAAACGTACAGCTGGAGCAGCAATTGCACCGCCCAAAATTCTCATGGAAGAAGACAGTAAAGTTGAACTACCAGGCCCCGGTGCTAGCAGTTTGTCTTCTGAAATGCCACCACCTTCATTTATTCCGTCATTTGGTGCTGGAAAGGGGTTGGGAGTTGCTGCTAACATTATGACCAAATTTGGTTACAAGGTAAAAGAAAAATTTCACTGTTAATTTTGTAAATTTAGAGTATTTAAGAATGTTATTTCTAATATTTTAAGCAAAAGTCAAAATGGACATTTAAATACATGATTTTAATGACTGATTTTAGTGGTGTGGGATTGGACCGCAAATTTGGCATATTTTTTGCAATTATTTAATTAGTATATACTGTTCGCGTTCAAGAGCGATTTTTTTTTTATTTTTAGGAGGGCGCAGGTTTGGGACGATCTGGTCAGGGAATGAGCACGGCTTTAAAAGTTGAAAGGCTAGGGAAGAATTCAGGGGTGATAGTAAATGAACACGAACTAAATGCTCGAGGTTTGTTTGAAATATATATAAAAATTTATATTAGCTGACTGTTGTTTCATAAAATTTCCTATGTGTGGAATGGATTTCCTGGATTTTTATTGCAGCTGAAGCACCTACTTCACCTCCGCCATTACCGACTACAAATGCCACGCCAGCAGTGAATATGACTGAAGCTTTGAAGCACTCTTCGCGCATACTGTTGCTGCGGGTATGCCGTGTTAAACTTTTTAAAGCCATCTGAAGAGTGTGATAAGTAATGTTTCTCTAATTTCTATTGTAATAGTGCAATTTTTTAATGCTGTCCTCTAGACGAAATGATGATTAACACAGTAAAAATAGAAAATCTAAACCTTGCGTCTGTTAATTCTCGAATGTTTCTATTTTTTGGAAATCGATCGCAGAACCGTTTGCTTAATGTTGAGTTGTTAGTTCCTGTTTCATTATTAAAGTTTTTCAGAATATGGTTAGCCCAGATGAAATTGACGATCAACTGGAGCCTGAGGTGAAGGATGAGATGAAGAAATATGGGCAGGTCAATAAAGTTGTCATTTTCAGGGTATGCTTTTGTTCTGAAGGAAAAAATCTCCTCCAGCTATCTTTTGAAAGATAACAGTGAACTTTATTTCGTAGCATGATAAGTAATTTATCTGGAATTCTCCAAAAGCTATGCATAGAATTACGTATTATTTGGGATTGATCATGGAATATCATATAATGAGAGGTGGTTCAGTATGAATCAACTTCATTTTACATTTTAATGCTCTATGATATAGATTTCAAAGCAGTATAAAGTATTTTTTTGCTTTTGGAAGATTGATAAAACGTTGAATTAAGAACAAGCGTTGAAATGTGCAGAGTTTGTGAAAGTTGTGATGATGTGATTTCAGTATTTTTGACGATTTAACGCGTCTTATTTCCAGCTTCTTCAAGTCAGCGATGATGAAGCAGTTCGCATATTCATCGAATTTACAAATGTAGGCCAAGCCATTAAAGCATTCGTCGATTTGAACGGGCGATTTTTTGGTGGTCGCTCTATTAAAGCCTCATTCTATGATCTCGAGGCCTACAATGCCAATCAGTTTGATCGATGAGTTTACCCTTACCCCTTTACAAATTTATTGTTGTAATCACTGTATGAAAATCTTTTAAATCATTTGTAGCAACAAAATTTCTGACAGGGATTTCTTTTACAGTTCATCCATTACTTCTCTCAATTAACTCTTGCAAATTTAACCAGTTCAGTGATTGATATTAGATTGCAACTTGCTTTGTTTTGCTCAGAGTAGTTCACTTTTTGGATTGAGGATGTCATTTTCTTGTGGAGATATGTTTAGCAGTCACAAATAAAATTGGTTGTTTTTGAATGCAAAAGTTTACGGAACTTAAGTGAAGTGAATCAGTTTGTGTCTAGATAATAGTATTACTCTAACATTGTACGATTTTAAAACTTGCTCTGTATGAAGTGAAGTTCTTGTGAAGATTACTAATAAAAAAACCGTCATGTATAAATTTCGTTTTGTTATTCACAATATTTCCGTATATCACATGAAGGCGAGTTGGTCAATTCTCGAATTTTGTATTTAACTCTAATTTCTACAATTTTTAAATGTTGGAGTTAAAAATTTTAAGCAGTTAAAACTACTAAAGTTCGAAAGCAGAGGAGTTCGCTTACTAAATTGGTCAGTATTTCGATCTCATATTATGTTTTCGCGCATGTTTTGTGTTTTAGTATGCTGTGATTTATTGTTCGTTCAGTGAATTATCAAATACTTTGATAGTTCATGGCATTTGTTCGTATTGATTCGATTCAATTCCGAACTTTTTTTGACTTGGCTGAGCTTTTTTTTGAAACGGTTCTAGATTTAGGTGCACCCAAGAAAATTCAAAAATAACCTGATGATAAATGACCACCAGCTGTGATGGGAGTTACTACAAGAGTTGCTAGTCTTGATGGTCACCGGATGAACCTGGCCATCCGTCAGGTTGCAGAAAACAGCTTCAAGGATTGGAAAAGTAAATTTCCTTTACCAGTTTCTATCAAACTGGAAAGAACACAGAATGAAATTCTCTTAGTCATTGATACTATTATATGGTTTAATCAGTTAAAGAACGGTGGGTTTTCCTCTCTTTCTCGTTGCGCTTTTATCATTATTTATTTTCATTATTAGAACCCATAAACTTACATATGACGCAAGCAAGTCTGTGTTAAGTTTCACGAATCAACAATTTTTCAAATTTATTAAACTTGCGGAATGTGTCTAACTTATTAAAAAATTTGTTAATGCTGATCCAAAATGTTGTAATATTCGTCAGGATGGAACTTGGACCAGTTATCTAAGTGGCAACCAGTTCTTCACTTTATGCTTTCGATTCTGGCACCTTACATTCGGAACCGTTTGCTGTCTTCGTATAGTCACAATATTAGATGGATACATAAGGTAGCGGCCATTTGTCGTTTAGCAAATTTTTTGCAGCTTTTGCATTTTTATCATAAGGGTGGTTATCAGAATTTTACGGAAAGAATCACGCGCTTGAAAAATACCGAGAAAAAAATGCCAAGGAAAACACTGGGTACGTTTTTACCAATTTGTTAAAATTTTTTCGTAGAAAAATAATTTTAGTCCTTTATAATAGTCATGATAAAATATCTCAACTGACAAAGTTATTATTTCTGAAACTTAGAAATTTTATCATTGTCGTAAAATTTTTGTTCAACGACATTGATAAAATACAACACTGAAAAAATGCACGTGAACGGCAGGATGAGTACTAGGACATTAAATTGTGCTCTATATAAATTAGAATAATGAGAACAAAAAATTTTTGTATTACTCACTAATAAAGTAATGTGCATATAGAAAGTATAAATGTACAAAACAAAAAGAAGTTCAAATTAATCTATAGCTTTATTTAAAAATTCATAATGATAAGAAATTCCAAAAACAAATGAAGATTATTTCATATAATCTATTTATTAAATGCTTTAATAATATATAGGAAACGTAATAAATTCTACCTAGAAATGAAATATATAATTCCCAAATTCAACTCCTATGCTTTGAACATATTTCTGCTGAAAATTTTCTTATAAAATCTTATAAAAATGAGGGCCCTGAGAAAAGCCGAGTGTTTTTTTATTTTAGCTACAGTCATTTATTTCAGTTACAAACTGGAAATATGAGGGTATCCATGTGTAAATACTACACATTGCTTCTTAAGTGAATAAACAAGAAAAAATTTTGACTGAAACTAAAGTTTTGGATAAAAGGACGCTTCAGAAAAACACTTTGTGACACAAAGGAAATATGATTCCTGAATTTAGACCAAAAAATTTGAAGTTTTTTTTTGTTTAGAACAGTTAATAAAAATACAGTGTGTCGCGGAAGAAAATACCAACAATAAAAAAATTGTTTTCGTATTTATTTATTAGTAGTACGAAGTCTACAGATATCTATTTGCTATTATTTAAATATCTATCAACGAAGTTTCATGAAATTTTTTTTGCCAAAATTTCAATTAACTTTAGGTTTGTTGAATTTTGAGACACTCAATCGAAAGCTTATATGGTGTGTGTTTCGAGATCTTATGGTTCTTTCGATTTCACTCAGGAACTGTTTTGGGGGGATGACAATACATAAAAGAGATGAGAAGCACGCAGATCTAATGGCAACAGCATGCACACGATGTCAACAGAGAGTTGTGATACCGGTGAAGAACGTTATCTGTGGACATATTTCTTGCTATACATGTTATCACGCCGAACCCTTTTGTGCAGTATGTGGAAGTGTTACGAAATCAGATTGTTTCCGTTTTCTACAGCTGCGGAATCGAAATTTGTAAAGTGTGAACGTTAGTGCAACATAGCCTGAAACAGTATTTACTTTACAGTTTACTGAACAGATGCTCATCATGATGATAATTTCAGATCATAACTCATATACTCCTTGCATACAAATTGATTTCATTATACAAATTTCCTTGTCCTACGTATAAAGGAATGAAATTTACCAATATTCCGCTAACTTAATCACAGTTTATGACTTTAAATTAATCAACACAAATTATTAGAGGCGGTTAATATGAAAGAATATAAAAGAGGGTTGTATAGGAGTTCTTATAGATAATCTAAGTTAAAATGAACTTGGGTTACGAAACTAAAATGCTGTCAAAATAATCCACTTATGTCATCCGTTCATTTGACGATTGGTGATAGAATTATATGTCACAACTGCTGCGCTCAACGATTCATAAACTTAAAGAGCATAATCTTTCCCTTCCCTATCCTCTGCCCCTTTTTCTACAAGTGTCGAATTCCCTGTCTGCAATTTCATCCGTTTCCTATCGCATTTTACTGCACAAGTTTCTCATTTTTTTCCTTTTTGATTTACGTACTGAACAGTTCGAAAATCAAAATTGCGGACAATTTTGGTAGTAATCTGAAATATTCATGTACCTGATTCAAATCCTTAAAAATTCTGTAACTATAGGAAGGAATGAGCCATGTATAATTAATATGATGCTAACCTAGAGGAATTTTCAGTGAAGTTTGTTACTTTGCCACGAAAATGAAATTGAAGATGAAATAAAAACATTCAATAAAATCACAGATAGAATGGCTAGAAAGTCATTAAAACAGGTTTTAATGACTGATGTTTTTCTTCATACTCGTTACTAGCAAATATTGATGGATAAGCAGAAGAAGCATTTGTCTTTACATTGATGATGTGAATTTAAAGTTTCGGAGTTTTTTTTGTTGAAATCGTTGTTTAGCTCAATACACTAAGTAGGACGTTTTACGCAAACAGACTAAATATCTGACGGAGCTAATCACTTTCTTCTATTGTTTTATTAAGTAGGAAGAATTGATTAGCGCCTTTAGGTATTTCAGTCTGTGTGTGTTTCATCTATTATATCCCTTTTCATCGAGTATAGGAAGCGGATAATCATATCGCATTTGCAATTTAGACGTGACTACTTAAAGTAACTTCGCTATATCATAATGTGATAAATAACTTAAAGTAAATCAAGAAAACATCGCTTAATATTAGCTAACTGAGGAAAGTGGTTAAAGTACCACAGCACCACTGATGGATTAGTCATTGTTCCAGTTTTTTCTTATCGAGACTTTCAAGCAGGTGAGGAGGGATTGCATTTGAAAATCTATTGAATCAATTTGTTTTCGGAACAATACATATCAAGTCATGGAAAATGAAGCGCATATGAATATTTGGTAATTTGTATGATGTGCTATCGATTTTCATTTGTAAATCCTAAACTTGACACAATCTATAGATAATATTAAGTCTTGTTTAGTTGAAGTGATATTGGTATAATTAAAACCTTATTACTATTGTTGATAGATTTAGTGACTTCATAAATTTTAATATTAGTATTTTACTTTCGAAAATTTTCAAGTGTTACATCAGAGTGTTGACTTCTTAATATGTAGAAAGGTTTTTTTTAATGTTCATATTGAACATCCTATCTGCATAGCATATAAAACTGTAAAACTTTCTTCAAAAATCGAAATGATATTTTATAAGTTATTCTCAATATTGATATTGCTGATGGCAGGGAAAATAATCTCACATATTCGAAACAATTCTTGGAGTTCTTAAGTGGTCCATAAGTCTTGGAAAGTTCGCTTACTATTAGATGTGAAGCATTTCATCTAATTATTTCCTAATGAAAGTTGATAGTAATTTAAACCGTCTGCAACCTTAACTAACAGTTCAACCTACAATAGATATAGTACAGTATCTTTGCAATCTGCCTAAATATATCCTAGCATGCTTCAACATTGCTTTAAGGATTATGACATATTAGTTTCGTTTTATTTTTGAGGGAAGAAAATGGAAATGTCGGTTAATAGTACAGGCAGTTTTCCTGTAGTTCATGTTTTCATATTTGGAAATGTCCGATATTCAACACCATTAGGAAAATAAGCTTTCTCAATGATGAGGGATTATCCACTCCAAAAGGATTAAAAAATTACGAAAATTAGCTCAATAGTTATTTCAAATATATCCGGTAGTTCATATTTTCATATTTGGAATGATTCAAAAAATTGAAATGCGACTCAACTTGACTGGTTTTTTTTTCCTTTTTTACTATTGAAAAATCTCAGACAGAAAGAGATAGAAAAAGAAGAATTGGAATTTAATCGACAAAAAGCTGAATTACTTACCAGTGCTAATGTTCATTTCTTCTGGATGAAGCCATGGCGGATGTTGCCACCATATAGAGTAAACTGGTGAGCACAACAAGAATAAGCAGATTAACAATAAGAATAAGAGTGTTCTTATCAAAAGTTTTTTCGGCAACCTCAACAATACTCTGTTTACGAGATGCAGGAGGCGCCATTGTCCAATTTTTGCAGTTCTTTGAATTCGAACAACAAACACAGACAGCGATACACGCACACAAACACAGGATGAGTTCCGGATGAATGTAAATTGTTTGAAGACTGCTTCCTCGTTTGTTTTTTTCATTTGAGTGTCAGATGGATGGAGATCAACTGCGCTCTTTCTCTTCTGTTATTCAAAGAAAATTGCCGAGATTTCTAACTCCTAGCAAACAACTGCCACCTGATGCAAACTTCACCAGAGAGACATGATTTCATTATACCGCCTGCTTTATTGTTATCCCCAACAGTAGTCATACCATTCCTTACACAATTCCTAATCTTCTTGAAAATGATCCTCATTTTTGTAAAAATCTTGCACAACACTTTTAAAATTTACATTGAGACTGTTCTAATTCAAATTATTGCCTTACATCGAGTTCCTAATAAATGGTACAACAAAATTCTTATTACTTAAAAGAATAAAGTATTTAAATCTTGCAACAAAAGGCAAGAAAGAAATAAACCCAAATATTTCCGAATGGTGTCACATATCCAATATCAAAAGTAATAAAGTGCATTGAATAATATTATATACAAAGAAAGAGGACACAATCAGGAAACCCGAAATCATTTTCTAATTCTAATCAAGTATTTGTGTTTTGTATTTCCAAATAATTATATATCAAAATAGTTGACGACTTAAAGAAATTCCTTAATATTATATACAAAGAAAGAGGACACAATCAGGATTTTACGTGACTGTACCATATCTGAATATTCATCTGAACGCTCCTCTCTCATCCTCAAACAAAGCTAATCTGAACATTCCAGTCAAATGATTAATCTCATATCCGCTCGTTTATGTTTATCACCCTTTTCTAAAAATCTTTTTTTCCACAGCTATCTTTATATTCAATCGAATTATATCATAACACGCCCTTTAAACTCATTTTGTGTCCGGATTTAAATACTACTCTAAAAACTCTATGACATGTATTACACACACACACATACACACACACACATACACACACA